TAATTTTGATAATTTACTAAATTTCAATATTTATAGGTTCCAATAAATGACCTAAATATATATGCAATATTTAATTTTTTTATTAAATTTAGCATTAATAATACGTTGTTTGTGGTTTATTAAATGTGCATTAATCAAATCAATTGCTTTTAATCAAGTAAATTGCTAAAAATATACGAAATGATTCAGATGCTCAACAAAGCTGTTATAATTTAATAAAAAATAAACCATTTAAATATTTAAGGTAATTAATAGTGTGATTACTTTTTTAGATTTTTGTGCAATGAAGTCTTAATATTTGCAAAATGGGTCGTAAGGGAAGAGATGTTTCTGAAGAAGTTAAAGTACTGGCAATTAAACGTTATAAAAATTGATTTCTTTCTTTCTTTGCTATTTGAAAATTCTCTAAAAAATTTAAATATCGCTTCTTTGTCACTATAAAGAAAGCTTAGCTTTACTAGGAACAATAATACATACTTTAAAATGGATTAAGTGAAAAAAAAAATTAGTGAAATAGTATAAAGACCAAGAACTACCATTCATTACATTATAAAAAAATGGAAAGAAACAAAATCGGGCGAAAACAATCAAAGATCCGGTAGGCCTAAAGCACTTTCCTAAACGGGTGAGCGTTGGTTAGTACGCCACGTTCAAAAAAATCCCAAAATAAATGCCACAATTTTTTGTAACTTTCAGGAATATTTGGAAAAAGAGGTCACACCACAAACTATACGAAATTCGCTTAAAATTTATGGTTATAGAAGAAGAACTCCACGTAAGAAATCATTTGTAAACAAAATCAATAGAATCAAAAAGCTATAATTTGCAAAAACTTATTCAAAAGAGCTAGAATCGTTTTGGTATAATGTAATTTTTGCTGATTAGAGCAAATTTAACATTATATGGATGCAATGGAAAGATAATTGTGTATAGAAAACAAAATACGGAGCTGAAAGGGTGCAATACAATTGTTACTGTTAAACACGGTGGTGGTGGTGTTATGATTTGGAGTTGTATAGCGTCATCTGGTGTAGGAAATATCGAAGTAATAAGTGGGTTAAGGGATCACAAGGTCTATATCGATATATTAAAGACGAACTTGAAGCAAAGTGCAGAAAAACTGAACATTGGGAATAATTTTCAGTTCTAACACGATAATGATCCAAAGCATTCGGCGTTAAATACTAAGCTTTGGTTATTATTTAACTGCCCAATAGTGATAAAAACAAATCCGCAAAGTCCAGACTTAAACCCCAAATCACAAGTCCAAATTAAGAAAACGCAGCTTTTGAAACAAGCAACAGATTCTAATGCACGTATGGGCTAATATAGATCCAGCTATAACAGCAAAATTAGTCCAATCAATGCCAAAGCGTTTAAAAGAGTTAATAAAACGTAAAGGACGTGTAACAAATAATAATTTTTTAGTTATTGTTACGAAAACTGCAGTCTGTTGCATAAATATATATTTTGGTACTTTGGTATTTTTAAATTTTTGGAGTAAAAACAATAAAAACAAATAAACAGAATACAACTGTTGAAGAAAATTGCTCTTTTTTTTCATTTTTGTTTTTCTTTTTGTTGTTATTGCAACATTTTACAAAAATTTAGGTAATGTCGAATACTTTTTTTGACCGCTGTTTGTCACTTGGCATAGTCCATACACACGCCCTTTCTTTTTTAGATCGTAATAAATATTACTTATTGTCATTCAGACTTGACAAATTGTAATAAAATAAATGGATTAAAAACAAAAAATAAAAGAAGATGAACGTCACTTAAATGATCAATTTCTAATACTTCTTGAGATAAAATTAATATATAAAACAAAAATAACTGAAGTGATAAAAATTATTAAAATTAGTTTTAAAATAGATTGATTGAAAACAAAGATAAAGTTTTCTACAAATCATTCTTTATAAAATTTTTTTCATAAATTTTTATTTTTCGTTCCTCTGTAGAGAGAGTCGTTCCCGAAAGAACCACACACATTCTTTGAAAACAAACTTCTCACCAATAATTATTTGGGAGGTTTTATAGTGCTTTATGAATGTTCATAATAGCAATGCACCCAACAATATTTTGGGATTTTTTTATATTGTGTGTATGTTTGCAAATTTTATCTAAAATTTAACAAGAGTAGAAAAAGAAGTAGTAAACTTCTGTTTCAATTATTCTCAAAAGTACAACATTTACTTCTCTAAAAAAACGTTTACACAAACGAAAACAATAAAAATTAAAAATATATTAAATATTCTCTGTTTTGAATTATAATATCTTTAAAGTACTGTATTTAAAACTTCTTCGTCGCATTTTTATAACGCTCGAATTTATATAAACCAAAAAAATCTGACCGAAAAAAAGCCTTATGGATTTACGAAAGGATTAAATCTCGTAACAAATGCTGAATCTATGTCCACATATGGACCTCGAAACAACCAAAATATTACTAACGACTCTAATGGTGATACTATGGAAACACATCATAATTAACCATCAGTACCACAAGTAAATGAAAGCCAAAAGCTTTATATGCTAATCAAGGCTAAATAATAGAAAATAGAGATCATTCAGTATAACCCGATTTACAGAAATCAATAAGATCTGACCGAAAAAAAGCCTTAAGGGTTTACGGAAGGATTAAATCTCGTAGCAAACGCTGAATCTATGTCCCCAAATGGACCACGAAGCAACCAAGATATAACCAACGACTCTAATGGTGGTACTATAGAAACACATCATAATTAACCATCAGTACCACAAGTAGATGAAAGTCAATAGTTTAAGATGCTAATTAAAGGTGAACAATAGAAAATAGAGATCATTCAGTATAACCCGATTTACAGAAATCAATAAAATCTGACCGAAAAAAAACCTTAAGGGTTTACGGAAGGATTAAATCTCGTAGCAAACGCTGAATCTATATCCCCAAATGGACCACGAAGCAACCAAGATATTACTAACGACTCTAATGGTGGTACTATAGAAACACATCATAATTAATCATCAGTACCACAAGCAGATGAAAGTCAATAGTTTAAGATGCTAATTAAAGGTGAACAATAGAAAATAGAGATCATTCAATATGTAAAGAATGAATTTACATATTGAAATAATATTCATTTTTTTGACTTATAATTTTAAAACTATTGCTATTTGTTTAAATATAAAGAGTCTTGATGATCCATTTTTAACAATTAATATTAATGGAAATATAAACATAAAAAAACTTCAGTAGTTTGAAATATACAATAAAAAGTGTATAATGTAAGTATATAATAAAATTCTTACGCCTAGCGATGAATTTATACTTCAATCAACGAATTTCAACGAAAACCCAACGCAGTAAATCTGCAATCCATGTCATCATATTCTATGTTCAACAACATCCTAAACATAGCTCATCATCACAACATTATTGAAAGAAACTGGGTTTTACTGCCCAACGCAGTACATCTTCAATCCATGTCATCATATTCTATGCCAAACAACATCCAGAACATAGCTCATCATCGCAACATTATTGAAAGAAACTGAGTTTCAGGAAATCAAACAAAAAAGCTTGGATGACTAAAATTTTGCTTAAAGATTATTTTCATACAGATTTCTGTCCATAAGTTAAAATATATTTAAAGAAAAACAATTTTTATATAATAAAGCTCTGCTTCTTTTAGACAATTTCTCTAAAAAAAATCAAAGTGGAGTTTTTGCCGAAAAATACCAAGGCTTCACTTCAGCCAATGGATCTTTTTCAAATGCTCATACAAGCAACAGATCATCGAAGGTGCCAAAAAGATTTTTGGAAAAGCTACAACATTAAAGATGCCATAGTAAACATAGATCAATCGTAGAAGAAAATACAAATGTCATATTTTAACAAATTTTGGAAGTCTTTTTGACCAGAATGCTTCGTCAGAAATCCTGTGCCTGAAGTTAATACCAATATAAATGATGATGTTGTTAAAGCGGCGGTAGTATCTGGTTTCACTGACTACACTACTACACGACAGAGAGCAGCTTACGAATGAGGAACTGCTGCAGCGTGGTGTTTCAGAAAACTTTGATGAGAAAGAGACAACCATATCAGATAATTAACTAACATCGCAAATGCTGAAGAAGTGTTTTGATAAAATTGATGAGGTAATCAGTGACTTTCAAATTGCGTTTCACTTTTCTAGCAAAGCTCAGACGTTCCCAAGAAAGTTAATGAAGCTATGTAACCATATGAAGAAGTTCTAAAAAAGCAACAAAAGAAGTCAAACAGTTAACATTCGTTTAACACTCGTTAAACAATCATAAAGATGTTAAAAATATATATAACAGTAAATAAATATATATATGACGTAGTGATTATATATACATTTTTTTCTTTTCCTTGAAGTCGTTATATATATGCTATTTATTTTCTTTTGGAACCAATATAATTATTTGCCATTCATTTGTATGGAATTATTTTACGGTCAACTTTTTTGAAATGAGTTAGGGCAGCCCTAAGCGAGATATAGGTGTATTTAATTTGAGTTGAGCAATACCTGCTTGCGCGCGTATAGTGAAAAGGTTTATTTTGTGAATTCCAAGTGAATGACAATTTTGTGATGCCATTCATATGCGATTTGAGATTTTTAATGCATGATTTAATTATTGAATGATGTTAAAGATTTTCTAATTTAATAAACCACAAACTCTTAAAATCTTAACTTTTATACAAATTTATAACTTTTGTAATCAAGGTATATGTAAACTTGGAACTAATTATTTATTGGCAGAAACTTTGTTATTTAATATGATAAACGTATGGTAACAAAAACTTTGTAATATTGTATAAATTACTTTTACTAAAATTTAATTACACAAAAACAAAAATTTTGTACAAAATATATGAAAATAAAAAACAATCTCGAATTCGACTAAGTCAATTTTTCGACAAATATATACAAAGATTCGGGACCTTGACTACAGCAATTATATATATCTATAAATATATACCTAAAAATATATATTATATATGCACAAACATATAGTTAAAATAAAAATACTTTTTAATATGTCTATGAACTAAATTCTGATGTTCTTAACATGTTATTGATTTTACCTTACTGCACCGTTTGCTTTTGCTTTTGTTTTGTTTTCATATTGTATTTACGTCTATGATACACTCTCTACTATATAAATAGATCCAGTAGTGCTTTGTGCCTTAGACCAAGGCATTTATATATATATTAATATTTACAGTTTATGCAGCGCGTGTGTGAAATGCAATTGCATATTTTATAAATTACTTATTATATGCAAATATGTATGCAAATTTTTAACTTATACGAATAGTGCCTTTTCTTTTGTTGCTTGCGTCTGTTATGTGTTATAATCATCATGTTGGGAACTAAAGTAGCTCACCAGACCACTAAATTCACTTTCTTGACCTTCATTATTTGCGTCTGCGCTAGCAGGTGCATTAGTTGCGGCTGGTGTAGATGAAGAATCTTCAGCGCCATCAGGTTGTAGTCCTGGAGAGCTACGTGAACCAGATGATTCACCTCCAATACCAAGTGGTGACTTTGCTGATTCTTTTGAGTATGCTTCCAGAGTTATTAATTTTTTTCGCGGCTCTGGTGAAGCTTCCCGTTTTAAAGTTGTTATTGGTTTTGTGGCTATTTCTGGTGTCGGTTTGTTATTAGTTGTTACAGATATTGGAGATTTTTCTGATGAAGGTGTCGAATTAGAGGCAGGAACTGGTGGCGGTACAGCAGATACTGTTGATGCTGTTGATGCAGCTGGAGGGGCTGTTACAATAACTGAACTTGTAGCAGAAACTGAATGTGGTACTGTTGAAGGCGGTGCACTTGTTTGTTGTGGCGCTGTAGTTAATGGAGGCGGGTTGGGGTAATAACCGAATGGCGGATAACCACCTGTAATGAAACAACAAATAAGCATTAAAATAAAATATGTTACAAATTAATTTAAATAAAAAATATATATATTAATATATTGTACATACGTGGTCCACCTGTGTACTCTGGGCCTGGTGGAGCTCCACTGCGTATATTAGCTGCTCTAGGACTGAAGTTTGGGTTTCCATATATTGGTGCTCTACATAAAAAATGCATTTTAAACAAATCACAATAACAAAGAATAAATATAAAAAGCTTTAAAAAATAAATATTTATTAATGTTCTTAAAATAAGCCTTGTAATTTTTATAACTTTATTTTTAATAAAATAAACAAACGTTTGAATCAAGAAAATTTACCATAAATATAATTTGTATAGAATTTATTGCGAATGAGCTTACAAAAATGTAAAATATGTATGTAAAAAAACATCAACATTAACTAAAGCAGTTTTCTCGTTAATTGAAATATCACTCCGGACATGATTTTCTCTATTAATCGAATTCATATGAATTTCAAAGTAAACCATATTCAAAGGATTCATTTTAAATTCATTAAAAAAAAGAAATCTAAAACAACAAACAATATGAATGTGATAAACAGTCCAAAAAAATTGTATTAATTGTAAATGTGGATTAAACCAGTTAAAACTAAAGTTAGTTGAAGATCACCAATCAACAAACTAAAGTTCCCCAATATATCCAAACTGACCGCAGCCAATCAATAGATGAAGTAAACTCCTCTACAGTTGCCACTTCTCCAGTTACTGTCTTAAAAGACATGATAATTATTACAAGCCCTATATTGTATTCCATTGTATTCCATTGTTTGATAAACTTTTAATATAACTGTTTAGTTTATTATTTTTATTTTTTAAACGAGCTAATTTGATCATTAATTTGTTATTATTTGCCGTGGCAATACTTAATATCTAACGGAATAACCCAGTAGAAAAAGTGGTCTTCGAAGACATTGTCTTCAAGACGGTCTTTGATACCGCGTCCAAGCAAATTTGCAAAACAATTGCTCAAAACATGAATTTAAATACTCTTTCTTTGCTTTCTCTCTCATTTTTAGTGTTCATAGCAACGTATTTGAATTTTGCCTCAGATGACGCTATGTTTTATAAATGAAGTGACGCAATAATTTTGAAGTGTAGTAAATAAACATTTGTGAAATAAATATTAAAAAAATCAAAATGAATAAAGAAACAAAATCATTAAACTATGAAATATTAAAAAAAATAAATTAAATCAAAACAAATTAAATATTGACTTAGTTCCTGGAAAATATATTGATATTAATATTGAAGACAATAATTCCAGTGAAAGTTGTTTAAGAAACGAAACAAAGGATGTTGAAAATAAAAAAACACAGGATTAACAGACGTTGTGATAATGTTATTTTAGAACTCTTAAGATCAGAAGGTTTAATTGTACCAAAATCCTCTTCAACGCTTTTGAAAACATATAAAACTTCAACAATTGATGATAGCGAAATGCTATAAATTATTTTATATTAGTTTTAGTTAATTTTAGATATATTAAGTTATATTAAGTTAATTATTTAAATTAATTTTCACTATGTTTACTAGTTTTTACTAGTTTATTTTTAATATCTTAATAAAATTTATAATAATTTATAATAAAATTTATAATTTACTTTTAAAACTTTTAATTTTGAATGTAATGTAAGAAATTATTATATAAAATAAATAAAAGTACAAAATACAACAATTTCTTTCTACTTATTTAAAGAGAAAATTGAAATTCATTTAAAATTTAAAGAGTGCAACAAAAGAGTAGAAATAAAAAAAGGGTGAAAAAATTATATGAGCACTGCACTAAGAGCGCACAACTTTCTGTCGAATGCGTCCGTTATGCAAGACATGGTCTTCGAGACGGTCTTCGAGACATGTACACAAAAATTCATTGAAGACATTTGGCTAATTTGTATGAAAGTTGGTTCTTGACCGTCATACATTTGGATCGATCGGTCTTCATGTATGTATCCATGTCTTGAAGACGTCTTCGATGACGGATCGATCCGTTTTCTACTGGGAAGTGCTAAACTCATCCACTCATCTTTATTAACCGTGTATCTTTTATTACAAAACCAGATAACACAAAATCTGAAGATATTCCGGTCACAGAAGAAGTACTACTTTGTGAAATTTTATTGGTTTTCATATCTAATTTCGAGCTGCAAAAATCGCTGGATATTAACATATAATATAGACAGACAAAACGAACTAAATTTAGGTTAATACAAAAAAAAAAACTCAAATAGTACATTTTAAAAAAGGAACAATAGAAACTACAATAAATTTATTTTTAAACAATTAAAAACAAAAGACATTGTTAAGAGCTATACATATTTAGAAGCAAACTTCATAAACTCATCATTAGGTAAATGTGTGGTCAGTCTATAGCAACTTCAGGTTGTAGTCCTGGAGAGCTACGTGTAGTCCTGGAAGGTTGCATACCCCACCAAAACCGACACCAAATAAACCAAATAGACTTCATTAGATTTTGGAATTATTAAAAACTTTTCAAGTTCTTAAATAATGTTATACATTATTTTGATGAATGAAAAAACTCTTTAGAACATGGTTTCCTAACCAGTCATGTAGACATAAATTTCAACTAAATTTTATACAAGATTACTTTATACAAGATAAGAATTTGCTAGTTACCTGAATATTGTTTTTTATAGCTTAAAAAGTCATTGCTCAATCGTGACTAGTATTCAAATATATAGTATTACACTTTTGCATTAAAAAGGAAAGCTTATAAAATTGAAAAAATTAATTTATGCTTTAACCAAAAACACAATACTCTTTTTTATTGAATATACACTAATATCCCTAAGAATACTTAGTCCACCTTAAAGCGATTCAAAATGAGCACATGTCAAGTCAATCTACAAATTCGGGAAGAAATAAGGGCAACATGCTGCTTTATTGTCAAAAGATAGAGGATTAGATATTTTATCTCAAATAAAGAAATATATTTAAATGAAATGACCCCTTCCTATATATATATATTTATCTGTATTATCTCGCTTTTCCATCACGTATTTACAGTTCTGTATCTATATATTGTTTTATATCGTTAACATTTGCAAAGCTTATGCTTATTGAAAGGTTAAATATAATATAACAATGTTTTTTTTTTAAGCAGATAATATTCACTACTAGGTAGCAGCACCCAAAATGTGATAAAAATAAAAAAGCGAAGCAAGAAATTTAACAAAAAAAATTTGTATTAATATTGGAAAAATAAATTAATTAGATTAGTCTTTGTTGAAACTTAAAGACATTCATACAAATCTATTGAAATCTTTTTACTTAGAAGATTTTCAGTGTAGAAGCATAAGTTTACATGATTCCTATATTAAATACAAAATATATATATAATATATATATATAATATATATATAATATATATAAATATTTACATAAAATATATTAAATGCAAAATATATATATTATATATATGAAATATATAATATATATATAGTATATATAAAATATATAATTTAAATAAAATTTATATAAAATATATATAAAATATATAATTTAAATAAAATTTATATATAATATATATAAAATATATATAAAATGTATAATATATGTATATAGTATATATAATATATATATAAAATATATAATATATATAAAATATATATATATTATATATAGTATATATAATATATATATTTTATATATATTAAATATATATAAAATATATAATATATATAGTATATATAATATATACATATATTATGTATAGTATATATAATATATATATTTTATATATATTAAATATATAATTTATATAAAATATATATAAAATATATATAAAATACATATAAAATATATAATAAAATAATAAAATAAAAATGTATATAAAATAATAAAATAAAAATATATATAAAAAATAAAATAAAAATATATATAAATACAGTCAAACTTCCATAACTCAGTCCAAGTCCAATTTTGCAAAGGTTCGACTTATGGAGACTTCGAATTAGAGAATTTTTTTTATTTTTGAAAAAAACTAGAAATACATTTTAAGTTATTTATTTATTTCCAATCAAATAAAGCACAGAAGTTATAGTGAAGTAAAATATTCAGAAATTAGGGTTTGTGATTTTAATTTTTTTTTTATTTGTAGTAAAAAGAAATTCCAATTCATTCCAAGCATTATAGTGATCATCAGTTGTAGTATCATTCGTATGCAAATATAAATTGAGAATTTTGAATAAGTCTTCTACTTCATTCTTTGGAGGCTGATGAACAATTACATCCACCGAACCTTCATCATCACTTTCTGTTGCGCTTAGAATTGGATCCAGTAATTTAGAGGTATAGTGCTCAATAATATCGTTATCTGTAGGAAAGCTTGATGTACAAATTTCAATGTCAAGCTCAATATAATATAATGGTTAAGAGTAGCATTGGAAGTTGTTTTATTTACTTTTACATCAATTTTCGCTCTGCATCAAAGTTATTCAAGAAAATAAAAGGAATGTCGTCGTGTTCGTCCCATGTAGAAATTTGGTCAAAACCAGCTTTTTTAAAACAGTACACTATTGTTTGACTACCGTTTACTAGGGACTGGCATTTGTACAAAGAAGCAACATAAGAAAGAAAAAAATTGAAGCATTTGGTTTAGAAAATGGATTTTCCCTAACAGCAAAATGGATTTATACTTAAAACAAAAATTCGACTTATAGAATGCACTTTCTCATATTCCTATCGGCACGGAACAAAATTTTTGTTCGAGTTATAGAAGTTCGAGTTACGGAAGCAGAATTGTATGTAATTTGCTCTCTAAAACGTTGGTGCACTTTTTCTGGTTCGAGTTACGGAAGTTTGACTGTATATATAAAATTTTTGTTAATCGTGTTTGCCAAAACCACAAATCATATTTATCTTAAATATGTTAACATATAAAAAATATTTAATCAGCCGTTTTAGTTGAATCTGCCAAGTGGCATTATTCCCAAGCCAAGACAGACAAGCTCATAAGGTTAAGTCATCAATATCGTATATGTATCACTCAAATTGCACAATAAGCAATGTTTAATTATTTTCAATTTACCTGTAAGGATTTAAATGTGAAGAAGCATGTCGTGCTGGTGGTGGAGTACCATATATATTCATTGGTGTGCTATGACGTTCAGCTTGAGATGGTGTATATTGAAGTCGTACTCCAGATGTTGCTGCCGCCGCAGCAGCAGCAGCCGCCGCAGCTGCAGTTGAAGCTGGGCCATGATTTGGTTGCACACTTGCACCACGTAAAGGTGGACCATATGTCGGACGCATACCTTGTTGTGATGGCATTCCAGGTATTGTAGGTGGTGGTCGGATACGTTGAGGTGGATTCACTTGACGCTCACCTGGTATGCCTTGTTGCGGAGGTCCATAAAAGCGAGCAACTATTAGAAAATTATTATTCATTAGTTATCAGTAATATTACTACAGTTTTATATTTACCATCTACATTAGAATAAAATCCAGCTGTAGCTGCAGCAACTCTTCCAGGTGGAATCGGAGGAATATGTGGCATACGTGTTATAACTGAAGACTGTGATTCAATAACAGGGCCAGGAGGTTTATAATGCTGCTGTGCTGATGCTACGGAATGTATATCTGGTTTGGTATCTTTTGACTGCGATGCCGCTTCTAATGCTTTTTCTTTTGCTTTAGCTACTTTTGCTGCTAGAGCAGCTGCATTAGCTGCACTTACAGCTGCTGCTGCTTGTTGTTTCTGAATTGGATCTCTTAACGGTGTAATTTTCTTACGTCGTCCTCTTGGACGTATTTCATTAGTTCCAGTAGCAGTTCCAGGAGTGGTACTAGAAGTAGGTCCAGGAGTAGTACCAATCGTGGTTCCAGGGGTAGTTCCAGTAGTGGTTCCAGTGACAGCTACAGCGGCAGCAGAAGAAGTAGTCAAGGTAGCAGTGCCAGAAGCAGTTGTTGTAGTGGTTCCAGTAGCTGAATTAGTAGTGGTTTCTGTTGTAGGTGTAACACTGCTTATTTGTTGAGTCGGTAGTAGTGGTGGGCGTGCTGGCATCATATGTGAAGGAGTTGGTGTATGTCCTGGTGCTATTGGAGGCAAATGATGTGCAGATTCATGCTGTTGTTTCATCTGCTGTTGCTGTAAGTGTTGTTTAAACTGTTGATGTTGTATCTGTTGGAATTGCGCATGCAATATTCTGTTTTGCATTTGTTGGTCTTGATGTTGCTGACGATGACGCTGCTGTTGTAGCTGCTGCTGATTGAATTGTTGTTGCTGAATCTGTTGTTGATGTAGTTGTTGTTGTTGCATTTGATGTTGATGTATTTGCTGAAATTGTTGTTGTGCAAAACTTCGATTAAGTGGTTGCCCTAGTGGAGTATTCAGAGCATTTTGCAGTAAATATGTAGAGGGCGCAGAATGTCGTTGTATTATCTGTCCCATGGGCAAGTCTTGATGTGAAGTTTGATGACGTAATAAGGGTGGATGCATTGTGGGCATGGGTAAGCGTTTTCTTAACGGTTCTTGTAATCCTGACGTAGTCGCACTTGGCATTTGAGATAGTGCTGCTAAAGAAGGATTAACTAACAATTTTTCTGTATCTTTAGATTTAGATTTAGTTGGTGTTCGTAAAACTTCATCTGCTGGTGGTAATTCCCGCACGGTCGCCCCATCAAAATCTTCTTCTTCGTCTACCATTCTCGCGATTTCTTCTTCATCCATATCTTCAGGCAAGTCATCTGGCAAATCGACATCATCAAAAGTAGGTTCGACTTCAGCAACGTTGTCATTATCACCAATATTTTCACCTTTACGCTGTAAATAATCAATATCTAGTACTTTTGCCTGACGTATAACTGATAAAGGTACTGTCGAAAGTGAGTCACTCGGTTTAGCCGGAGAACGTTTGCCTTTTTCTTCTCCAGCTTTAATAGGTGTTAAACGTGGTGTAGCAGCAAGTTTGGCACCCTCAGCATTTTTCTCGGCCAACATTCGTTTAATTTCTTCTTGTTTTTGAATAAACTTTTCACGTTCTTCTGGAGGAGTATCAGGTCGCTTTACGCCAGGTTTTATACCACCATCTGAGCTGTCATCATCAAAATCTTCTAAGTATGCATATCGACGACCACGTGTACGACGTGTACTATCGCCGCTATCAGATAAACTCTCATCATCAGAAACGTGCTTTTTCTTTTTCTTGCTAGTTGTACCTTTACCCTTGCCTTTACCCTTGCCCTTGTTGCTTTCTTTGTTCGAATTATTCGTTTTAAGAGGCTGTGATCTAGGCTGCTTTCCAGATCCTTTACCCCCACAAGCATCATCATCATCTTCATCATCTTCTTCCTCTGATTCAGTAATATCATCGTCAGAATATTCAACACGTTTTTTAATTTTAATTGGTTGTTTCTTAAGTTTTGGTGATTTTCGTGCGATTGCAGTTGTATTTCTACGTTGCTTTTTACGCTTTGATGGATGCCATGCACCATCTGAATCCTCACTAGTTGTATCGTCACATAAGTCAGCACTGTCAAGATTTTCAGTTAACTCAGATAAATCATCAGCAGTTTCCGATTCTGTATAATCGGAATCATCTTTACGTTTTTTCTTTGTTTTAGGACGATTTTCTTCTTCGTCATCATCAGAATCTTCAACCACGAAATTACGCACCTTTCGTCGTTCACGTGCAGCTCGACGTGCAGCCTTCCGTTGTTTCTTTTTACTGTGCTTATTTCGACGCTTATACATTTCCAAACTTGAATCGCTGTTTGAAGAAACAGATACAGATGTGTCTTCTTCCTCTTCGTCATCAAATGACGAAGTTTTAAAATCTTCATCAGATGCATTATCTTCTTCTGAACTAATATCTAAAGTTGTAAGTTTCCTCGACTTCTTCTTTAGAGAAAGTTTTGGCCTCGCTTTTCGCTTTAATGATTCTTCTTCATCTGACTTCTTTTCTTCTTTCATTTCAGAGTTTTCTCTATCAGAAGCTTGTTGATTCGATTTTTCAAGTTGTTTTAATCTCGCTTTTTCTTCTTTATCAGCTTCTATTATCGTAGTTATATCTTTCCCACGACCCAAATTACCTGCACCCGCAACTTCGTCCATTTCTTTCTTTAAAGCTGAGTTAATGAGATCATCAAACTCATTCAGACGATAGCTTACATTTATTTGGCGCCGTTTTCTTAATTTGTAAATTGGTTCGTTGTCACTGTCAGAAAACGAATCTGAACTTGATTCATTTTCTGAACCGCTCTCAGATAAGGAATCACTATATGATGCACTATCAGAACCATGCCTCTGACGACGCGTTCGCCTAGCTCCTCTAGCTGCAGCACGTCGCCTTCTACGGCCATCGCCACGCCTGCGTTTTGCTGTATCAATATTATCATTTTTCACTTTTTTATGTGAGTTTTCTCTACTTAGACTTTTACTATCTTCATCACTTTCTCTATCTCTATCACTTTTCTCATTATCATTACCTTCGTCACTACTACAAGACTCACCATCATGATATTTACTTCTTTTACTTTTTTTGCGACTTTTTTCTAATTCTAAACGTTCTTGTTCAGCTCGTTCTGCTTCTTGAGCTAAGCGTCTTTCTTCTTCTTCTTCCCACTTTTTACGCTCTACCATCTCATCAAAATTTTTAAGTTGCATTTCCAACGCTACAATTAACTGTTCTTGCTGACAAGGTGGGCAATACCAATCACCTTCAGGAATATAAAAAAGAACAGGCGATAAACATGAGCAATGGTAACCTTTATCACAATTATCACATAATAATATCCATTCTGGATGATCAGATTTGCCACATTTTTGGCACGCTTCTTCATCTCTATTATCTCCGTCGTCTGCATCTTCTTTACGAGCTGTACGTGCGCGTTTCATTGGTACAACTTGTGACTCATCTTCAATATCTGATTCGGGAGAGAACTCATGATCAGATTTAAAAAGTGGTGAACCAGGGTCAGATTCATAATGAGGTGGCTCTTCATCTTCTTCTTCGGGTTCTTCTTGTTCCTCTGATCCAGACGACCAACCGTCTTTTCCTGGGCATTTCTTTTTCGATTTTTTTTTTAATTCAACTAAGCACTCATCTTCGGAAGACGACTGTTCAGATGGCTCCGCCACAGTTGAATCAGCTTGTTTCTCTGCCTTTTTTTTCTTTTTTAACTCTTGTTTCATTGTACGTAAAGCTATTTCTTCAAGCTTGCGTCTTTCCGCTTCTTCTTTTATTTTTTGTTGTGCTATACGCCTAGATTGGCGTACGGGTGTTTCCGCGTCTGTTGATTCTATTATGTTTGTAGTATCTACTACTTCCCGCTTTTTACGAACACCCCGATTAATTGAACTTTTATTAGCTCCTGCTAATGATTCAGTTAGTCCAGATTGTTGTTCTACAGCTTCCCTCATTTCAAGGGATCTGACCATTTCTAATTCTTTTTTCACTAAAATCGGGTCATCTTTTTTATTTATTTTTCCGCCCAACTTTTTAACCGCCTTTTTATTAGAATCAGCATTATCAGTTTTAGGTACAGCTTTATCTACGACAGCCTTGTTATCTTTAGGTTCACTTTTTATATCTTCCTTTTTTATAACCACGTTTGTTCCACGAGTACGTTTTGGCAATGAGAGTTCAGTATATACAACTACCGCACCACCTCTTCTGCTAGAACGCCTATTAGCGACGGGCTCTGGCGGCGAAGGCGTAACTTTCTTTTTTAACTCTTTTTTAGGTTCAGAAATATTACTTGTATCTTCTTCTAAATTTTTTTGTTTCTTTGGTTGCTCTATTTTTTCATCATCCTCTTTAGATGAGTCTTCGATTTTAACATTTTCATTCAAAATTAATTTATCTTTTATAGTTTCAGGTATATTTTTTTGTTTAATTTCTTCACTGCTACGTCGCTTACGTTGCCTTTCCGGGGTTTTGCGCTCTAAAGATTTTTGAAGCACTGTACTTTCTTTTTCGTGTTCCTCGATTTCTTGTTTAACTTGAACTGAAACATTTTCCAGTATTTTCGTAGGTTCTACGGCTACTGGCGATGCTATTGTTTCACTTATTGTACGTTTTCTAGGTATAGCTTCTTCATCACTTTCTTCTTGTCTAAGCTGGGTCAATAAATTCTTTTTTAATGGTTTTGTTATTGGAGATTTTCGTGGAGAGTTAAAGGTTTTTTGTGTTTTTTCTAACGCTAAAGGAGATGTTTCAGTGTTTGTCATTTTTGGTACTTCAGGTGCCTTCTTCAGTTTCTTTTCAATTATTTCTGCCAATGTAGGCTTTTGTTTGTTTACTGTTACCGGCGGACTTGGATTAGGGACAGTGGAAACAGTTTCCTCTGTTTTAACTTCTACAACATTTGGACTATTTTGTTCTATTTTATTTGTGTTGCTTTGATCCAGTATTGTGCTGTTGTCATTTTTGTCATTCACTGGTGGAGATTTGGGACTTTTTGCACATTTTTCTGAACGAGCCTTTGGCGAAATAATTTTTCTATTTTTTCGGCTATCTTCTTCACCACTGGATGAAGTCGTTTCTTCTGTTGCAACTTTTTTTGCCTCAATAATTTTTCTCAATTCAGTATTTAGGCACTTAGGACGCATTTTTAAACGTTTACCACCAACATCTAAATCGTTTGAGTCATCAACCAAATCTTCTTCAACCTGGTTTTCGGTATTACCTTCTAACTCACACTCAGAAATTGATTGTCTTGTATTTCGTGTTGAAATAAATTCAGCCAAACGCCGCTTACGATTTGGCAATGTTGCTGGGCTTAGAGATTTTGTGGATGCCGAATTCAATGATTGTGATGTAATAGAGTTATCAATATTATTACTTTTTATATCACTAGTTGTAGGTTCTTCAAGTTTTTTGGGAGACATATTTGAATTTTCATTATCAGCACTTGATTGTAGTAATTCAACGGGTTTCGGTGAAAGTACTGCATTTTCAGTATTTAATTTAGGAGGAATACTTACTTCACATATGTCTTGTCGTTCAGAAACAGCTTCTAGTTTTTCACTTGAATCGTCTATTGTTTCAGTTTTATCTATACTTTCTTCTACTGCTTTTATTTGCAATTCATTTTTGTTCGCATTTGGCTGTTCTGCAATATCATCATTAGGTACGTCTAAAGCTTCGCTAGTAGGTGTTTGTATGTCATTATTTAAGTCTGTTTGTACATTATTTCCCAAAATTTCTTTTTCAGAGTTAACAGGCTCAGATTCAATTTCGTTTACAGTTTGTTCACCTTGTACTTCTTTGACAGTTTCAATTTCATTTTTGATTTGAAGGCTCTCAGTATTTTTAATTACATTATTATCGTTTGATACCTCTTGTTCTGACAATAATGCAGATTTTTCGACATCTTCATTCTTTAATATCTCATTATTTGAAACCTCATTACTTATATTTGCCTCTTTTAACGAATCTGTTTGAATTTCTTCTAAAATTTCTTCTTCTTCTTTTTTATCGTCTGATGAAGTTTCTTCCTTTACTGTTACGTCTTCCTCTAAATTTTCATTTTCCTTAATTGTGTCGTTACATTCTTCTTTACTTATTTCTATTTCAGGTCTTCTATCAGTATCTGGCAACTGTTCCGTTTCTTCTATGTTATTTTCACCATTCGTTTTAATATTTTCTGATTCAAGATTTATTTCGTTTTTTATTTCTACTTTTTCTTCATTATCAGTTTCTTTTACTGCTTTTTTATCTTCTATTTGTTCTTGCACATTTTTTGCAACATCGACGACATTTAATTTTTCTTCATTATTTAAATTAACTTTATTGTCCTCCAAAGGTACTTCTTCCTTTATTTTGCTTGTTTGAATGTTATCTATTACATCATTGCTTTCCTCTTTTTCCAATATCGATTCATGTTTTGTCTCAATATTTTTTTCTTTAAACTCTTTATTTTCAATTTTCTCATCTTTGCTTTCTTTCGATAATGATGACTTTGGAATTTGTTTTATAGGACTTAATTTAAGACAACCAGGTTCTCCAAAAAAAAATGTTGCTTTGGGCTCGTCATTAGGAATTTGTGATGAATTTTCTTTAATTTTTTCGCCATCACTTTTAATATTATCAATTTTATTATTACCAACTAAAGAAGTTTTACCTGATCCATATCCAACAACATAAAAAACAGGATCTTCTATTATGTCACTGTAAGTCGCTTCATCGTTATTGTTCTCAATTTCATCAAAGTTCCAAAAGAAATTGTTCACATTATTTTCGTCTTTACAGTCGTGACCATTACCTTCACCACGAATAATTAAAGGTGGCTCTTCAATTGCTTCACCAATGTCATCTTCAGAGTCACCATCATCATCATCGTCATCTTCTTCATCATCGTCAATGTCTTTTTCCTCATTTTCATCTTCTTCTGCAGCAGCACTGTCTATGTCTTCTTCTTCTTCACAGTCATCTTCATCATCGTCCTCATCTTCATCATCATCGTAGTCATCCTGATCTTCTTCACCTTCATCTTCGTCAGCATCATCCTCATCAGTTTCATCGTTTTCTAATTTAATCTTTTCGTATTTACTTGGCTTTTTAATACGCTTAGAATCCAATAACAAAGGACGCAATTTTTTCACAGTTTGTTCTTCTGTTTTTGTTGGTGATTCTAAATCATCTAAAGAACGCTTCTTCGAAATAGTTACAGGTTTCGGCGAATTAATTATTTTCGATTGAGATATCAGCAAAGGCTTTTAAAAAAAATAATTTAAAATATAGCAGTTAATAAATATTTTATGACAAAATAAAATTTAATGTTTTCATATTTACCTTTACTTTTTTGACATTTTCTTCATGCTTGACTTTAAGACTTGATGGTTTTAAATAAATTTTAGGTATTCTTTGTTGTCTCTGCCGAATTTGCTCTTCATCGTCTTCAGCAAAAACGTCTTCATTTTCATTAGCAGTATCATTATCATCATCAGCATCCTCCTCTGATTCTTCAACAGGTGGTATATTATTTTTTAAACTGATTTTATCTACTTTATGCGATTTAGTTTCATTCTCAATCTTCGGCACAGCTTCATCCTTGGCTTTAGTTGTACTATCAACATCAATTTTGTTTATGCCATTCCCTATCTTTATACGTATATTAGGAATTCTCGCAGTTTCTTCTTCTTGAGAATCATCCTGTTCTTCAGGAGGCGGAGGTTTAACAACAGGTGCAGCACAACTGTTACTACTACTTGTGTCTTCATCTACGACGCCAATATCGTTTGAAGGTAATACAACTTCATTTCCACGTAACCTTGATATTAAATTAACTAATTCTTCACGATTAGTTGCAACCACTTGCCATATTTCTTCATCTAAATGCTCCTGATAAATTCGCAAGTTGCAATCATTATCTTGGGTTAACCAATAGGAATGCCCTAAACGATCACGTCCTATGGGTTCTGAACGTAACGAGTTTGCACTTAATGCAAGAATTTTAGAACGGAATTTAGCATTTCTCTCGAATTGACTTTCCAGTAGTTCCTATATATAAAAATTGTATAGTATTATAAAAAAATATATTTAAAAAAAAAATGAAGTCAATAGATTCCAATAATCCGAGTCCTTTATTTAACAATGGATTTAGATAAAATTACAATATGCTATATATTTTCCACTACGGTATAGGTCAAGCTTATTTCCACAGATTTTGGGCTTTAAAAAGTAAAATCGGAAATTGGAATCAAGTCAAAGAAGTACTTACACGAAATATTCGTAATTTGACTTTGAGACTGGATTTTTTATAACCGAACCGCTCTACTTCCCAAGCGTCTTGTGCCGAATAGGAAAAACAAAATTTACTTAATGCCCCCTCCCAACTCTTTTCATGAACAGTCTTTCTAGTTTTTCGTAAAAGCTTGATGTGTAAATCACGTAACTGAGGCGCAACTGAAATGAAAAATTCATTCAAATTAAATTAAATATATTAAATGAAATACGTTTATACGTTTCTTTAAAGTGAGTTATATAGAAGTATAACTTAATTAAATATTATAGTATCCTAAAAAAGAATATAGGTGACACATAACGTAGAAACTACAATGACATGCATCATTGCCTGAAATGGAGTCTTCTGTGTGTAAGTTCGAAAGATAGATTAAGCCTGACATAGAACAAGAGATTCTATATTATTCTGGAAAACTCTGATAACCATGAATGCCAGTATTATTTAATACATATTATATTAAACATATATTTATATAATATGACTTCACCATATATATGTATCTATAGTACATACTCTCATATATATATCAATGAATAAACCTTTCAATTGCACTAATAAGAAATAAGAAACGCCAGCGACAATTATTGTCATATCTTCATTGTAAATGGAAGTATATTACTTTGAAAAATCCGCATTTAGAAAAGTTATATTATGATTAAAGACTCAAAAATATTAAGTTTACCATATAATAATTAATTTCAGTGTTTTCAGGAGGAAATCTTCAACATACTTTCTATTAGCATCTTGCACACAACTGTCAGAGACCGGGCAGTGCTCACATTCTTATGGAAGTCTGTTTCGTTTGCTAAAATTCTGATAGGATTCGTTATCAATGCACTTGAACATCGATAACGAGTGATTACAGGGTGTATAACCACAGCTGTTGAATCAAGAGTTATTCATTTAGAATTTCACCCACGTATGAGCCCGGGGAATGAAATGGACTGTCTCTAAGATTTCGTTAAAAGCTCGATCATTTAAATTCTTACTTCTTGAAATCACTTTCTAACCTAATCAAAAACTACTTTAATAATTAATTTTTCTAACATAATAGTAATTGTGATAGTTAAGTATAAGTTAGTTAATTCTATGTTACAAATATATTTAATCTATCATGATTAACAGCGATAGCGTCACTACAGTGGAAACGTAACATGCAAGGTGAAGGTGAATAAAATATTGCAAATTAAATTGCAATAGCCACAATAAGAGCAATAAATTATGTCAATTAAAACTTTTCTTCTGTTTAATCGAATCCAATACATATATGAAGCAGCAGAATTACTCATATTATGCATACTTAATACGAAAGATACAATAATTCTATTGTTTATAATATCGCAGATGAAAAAGTGTGTAATTACCAATATCACTTTTGTCCAATAAGCCGACAGCAGCGGAGCCATCAATTATGCCCGAATAAGACACCTATCCATTTAAAGAAACACGCTATGCTGACAAAAATTAAAACTGGAGGCTAGTATCATTGGCTCTTAAGGATATTTTTTTATAGGAACGTGCTTTAAGCAAAATTTTTACTATATATAGTTTTTTATGAAATGCATTTTTATGATTTCATGATTATACGAACATAGTACAAATCAAAATCGGGGTTGCAATAGTTATCCATATACATATACGAATAACTGAAAGTTAAATTTTGTTTATATCAGTATTTTAGTTCTTTATATATAAAATATGTATATCAATAAATTAGTGGCGATTTTAAACGAACAGTAGTTGAAGCGAAGTAATCTCCATTTGAAATCACATCCTGCTCTCGTTGCATTAAGCTCAGTGCCCAACAGCATACTTTTGTACTAAATTGTGCTGGCCAAACTGAATGCCGAAGAAAACCACATCCACGTCTGGTTGTGTCAATCATTCACTTTTGCTACTCTGTTTGTAACGAACTCTACTCTTAGAAAATAAGTAAAGACGGAGCAATGAACAGTAATAAATTGTTCCAAGAATGGCAGGGTCTACGTTCCGGAGCCACTCGTCGAGTTCGACGACCAACTACCGTTCGCCACACCCAAAAAGATGTGCCGTTCGAGTACACACGCAGATCACTGTGGTTTACAACAATATCAACAGCAATTACAAATCTTATTCCTTGTATATTAGGTGCATTTCCTGAACACGCTTTATATGTCGATTGTAATTTATAACGAGATTAGCAGTTCTCATCTAGGCTGTATAATTAATTGGAAAAGGCGAGCAGTACTTGATCTATTGGTAAGATCAATGATACCAGCCGTTTCTTGAACTCAAAAATAATTGCATTCCAAGGGCTTAAAGTTCATTCAACATAGAAAGGTTTTATGTCAAACTTCTGTCAACTATTTAATTTTTTTAATTAAAAAAATTAAATACTTTATTCAAACTAATTTTATTGTTAACATTTTTTGAATTCCTTATCTGGATTTTTGAGTGCATATGGTCACGTATATTTTAAGCTATCAAAAATTCTTTGGAAGGCATATACTGAGACATATACTAGTCAATACAAAACTATGTTCTGATATCATTTCTAGTATATTACTATGCTAATAATATGTACCAACAAAAGTTTTAATTCGAAATGTAATTTCTCTTTAACAATGAACTCTTTTTTCAAACTTTTTTTACACGATATTTAGTTTTTATTAATCCATATGTCGCTTAGAAAATCATTTACGATAGACAATGATGGTACAATTTCAATTAAATTAATTTTAGAAGGAATTATGAATAACTCACCCTCATCTGAATTTGTTAGCCATTCTTGTAAATGCTTAAAATTTGGCAAATCGACTCCAAGGTCTTTAGCGAATTTCTGTAGGAATGCGCATATGACAGCGAACTCTGGATCGTTAGCGCAATATCGTAAGGACGAATTAATGGCATCTGCATCCTTACAATTATCGGTTGAAGATGTTACTACACATTCGGATTCTTCCTCTGCCGCCGGTGAAACTTCTGCTACTGTTAATTGCGTCGCTGTTGCTGCGGATAACATCGACGACGCCATCGAAAAAATTTTTTCTAATTATAATTTAGTATTTAGCTTCTATATAGCAACATTGACAATTTCCTTTTATAGTTTTCACTGCTTTTTAATCAATATAAAAAATTTATTTAAATGTGTTGATAATATATTTAGCATAGCTTCCTTTTTTAAAATTTAATAATAACAATGTGTGAAAATGCAAACATAAATATGTGATGTTTTCAATTCTCTTTCTTTCCCATTCTTCTTTTAATTCCATTCAATTTTATATGTAGCTACAACTACAGCACAAACTCAATAAAAATTTTGCTTTTTTCGTATGCACAATTTTTAAAATATATACTATAAAGTTTTTTTATTGAAATTGTCCCAGCAAGACATTTACTTTTTACAACTTTTTTTTAAAGTTGAATTCATGTGACTTTGTAAAAAAAATCCTAACAAAATACCGGAGTACACAAAAATAACAAAGATTTTATACATAGAAAAAATTCAACTTCTGCCTCCTCTTTCGAAGTATTCGAAAAAGAGTGTTCATGAACCAAATTACATGGTTGTATTTCAAAATATATTGTAAGACGTCAAAACGATGGAGCAGTGCTGACAAACACACACTAATTTAGAAAAATGGCTTGCAATATTCCGAACATTAAAATAATTATGCATATAGACCGTGTGCGAGTTCGAGTAAATTTATGGTGAATTGAGGCAAATAGTGAATTATGTCGGTATGGCTGCGAATGTTGGTATTTACCAGAATTTCGAGTACGGTTAATTAGATAAAAATGAAGTAAATTAGATGTTATAATTGTGAAAATTTTCGACTAAATTGAAGTAAAGTAAATTGAAATTTCCTAGGGAATTTTTGCACTGCACTTATGTAATTATGGACGTGTGCGAGTTAGGCTAAGTTGATGCTAAACCAAATGGGAGATTTTTTGGGATTTTTTGCACTGCACACTTTTAGCCATTTATCAACACGTATCGACACATCAATACATTATCGACACAACTTAGAATTTCCCTCATTTAGAACGCAACTTAGCCTAACTCGCACACGACTTAAATATATTTTTTTATTTATTGTACTTATTTATTATTTTTGGTTAAAAGTTTTTAAATTTATTTATTAAACATCTTATCAAAATATTAATAAAAGTAACACCAAATTCACCTAATTTTTATTTAATTTACCCTCGTTACTCGATTTTCTGGTAAATACCAACATTCGCTGCCATACTGACATAATTTACTATATCATCAATTTACTCAGACTCTCACACGGCCTCACATATATATCAGTTTTTTAGCATTAATAAATTAATTATACTTTTACTTATTATAAAAAATGTCTTATATGTATTATTAATATAATCAAAAAAAAAAGTTTGATATTCGTAATATCAAAATATTTATTTTTTTTTAAGTACTATTAAATGCGCATTGCCATAACAATTTTTGACGTGCTTAAACAAAACTTCTGAAAGTAAATGCGAAAATAATTCTGCTAAACTACTTTTATATTTATATTTATATTTATATTTATAGATTTATATTATTACAAACTTTTATAAAGTAGATTATATGCTCATGTAGCTATTTTATTGATATTTCGAGCATCAGAGTTGCAATTTTTTACATCAAAAATATCAACTTCTAGTTAATCGTTTATTTTATTTAATATCGTATAGACTGCTGTATATAGACTGCTAATGATGTATATAGACTGCTAGATGTCGCTACTAAAATTCATTGACATAATTAGTAGTTGTATTATAATTTATTTACATATTTTTACAATATACTAAAATTTTCTAATACTATATTTAGATATAGAAAATATTTTACTAAAATGTTAGTTGAATTAAAATATTTAGAAACTGTTTATACTGCACTAAATTAAACACGCCATACTTGCACATTTCTAATGTTTTTATAGACTTCTGTACGATTTTTAACATGCGAAATAGCTAATATATAAGTGTTAATATTTTGCTAATGATTGTGCATGAAATTTGAAAATTGACAACTTAGGTCGTGTGCGAGTTAGGCTAAGTTGCGTTCTAAATGAGGGAAATTCTAACTTGTGTCGATAATGTATTGATGTGTCGATACGTGTTGATAAATGGCAAAATGTGTGCAGTGCAAAAAATCCCAAAAAATCTCCCATTTGGTTTAGCATCAACTTAGCCTAACTCGCACACGACCTTAGTAAATTCACTTTTAGGGTATGTTCAAAAGAAAACTCTCAAATTAGGTATTGTCGCTCTATTATTTAAACTCTTTTGGAGGAGTTTTTTAAAGTTTTAGTAATTTAAATTAAAGAAATGGAAAATATAACTCACAGTAAAGCAATAAAATCTGAGCTTACTTGTGACATTTTAAAGATATTTAGATATTGCTGAAAAAAAATAATATATGGAATAAGTGAACCTCTAATTTGTCTCGAAGTAAAATGCGCTGGGGTTGCATTTCTTTATATTTCTTTGTATTTTTGTAACAAAATCCATTCAATAGATTGGATATAAATTGTGTACTCATGATGTTTCTATTTAACAAATTAACACTATAGTCATTTAACACTAGTATAGCATGCTAAATAAAAATGTTGAAGAGGACTAGTTTTCACATCGTTTTAATGTGTCGTCGATCTCAATAATTTAATGTGCTTTTAATTATAACAATAGATTTATTTATATATTATAGTGTGTGGAATATTTGTTATTTATTTTGTTTAAATAAATATTTATTTATTTTATATTAGAGTGTCGAATATTCTGAATGTTACATGAGTTAGGAAATTTGAGCTTGTAGTGATATGAAGGATAAAAGCATAATTATAGTAGTAGAGTTAATTCAGAGATTCTATCTATTTTTATTCGTCAAAAGAAACACATAAGGATTCGGATTGCCGCTGTATATATATTTCACCACTTATATACAATACTATTTTTCGTAATGCCATTGTTTACATAAGAAGTTAATATTTTATTTAATGTTTTTACTTTATCATTAAGTAAATTGCATTATTCTTCACTTTTCTACTCAATTAAAATAAAAACAATTTCAGCTACATATGACGCGCATTACAATAAAAACTTTATTTAATTGTTATATTCATATATAGAACAGTAATCAGTTGTTTTTTGACTTTACTTGAAGAAATTTTGCAATTACAATTCAAATAAATTTTGTATAACAGGAAAGAATAATTTGCTCTCCCAAACTCTCTTATCTTACTACTTAGACAGTGTGTAAGTTCTAGTAAATTGATGGTAAATTAAGAGAAATAGTAAATTATGTCGGTATGGCAGCGAAGGTTGGTATTTACCAGAATATTGAGTAACGAGGGTAAATTAGAAGGAAATTAGGTAAATTAGGTGTTACAATTATGAAAATTTTTAAGATAAATAAACAAAAATAATAAATAAATTTAAAAACTTGTAACCAAATAAACCAAATATAATAAATAAGTACAATAAATAAATAAAGAAATATTTACATAAGTGCAGCGCAAAAAATCCCTATGAAATTTTAATTTACTTTACCTCAATTTACTCGAACTCGCACACAACCTTCCTACATTTTAAGTACGGGAAATCAAAATTTTACTATAAGTACATACGGAAAAAGATCTTTTAAGTTGCATTCAACATTTGCTGCAGTTAAGGATGTGTGCGAGTTAGGCTAAGTTGATGCTAAACCAAATGGGAAGTTTTTTGGGATTTTTTGCACTGCACACATTTAACCATTTATCAACACATATCGACATATCACTAAATTATCGACACAACTTAGAATTTCCCTCATTTAAAATGCAACTTAGGTCGTGTGCGAGTTAGGCTAAGGTCGTGTGCGAGTTAGGCTAAGTTGCGTTCTAAATGAGGGAAATTCTAAGTTGTGCCGGTAATGTAGCGATGTGTCGGTACGTGTTGATAAATGGCTAAATGTGTGCAGTGCAAAAAATCCCAAAAAATCTCTCATTTGGTTTAGCATCAACTTAGCCTAACTCGCACACGTCCTTAGCTTAACTCGCAAACGTCCTATATCTTTATATAAAATATATACAGCGAAAGGCTTTACCTTTTTGAAATGGTAAGGTAAATAAAACCTTTTCTTTTATATGGAAACAAAATCTTTATTAAGCGTAAATAAAGAAGCAATATTTTTGTTAAATGAAATTGTTTTAGAAATTGTATTATATATATCATAAATCCAAATTTGTTATTTAAAACAAAAAAATGTCTTTTCCTAAATATAACAGCAGGTGTGGCATTATTATTCATTTATTTATTGTTATTTTATTATTTTTATTATTATAATTATTAACATATTATCATTTATTATTTAAAGTTTTGTTAATTGTTTATAATTGAACCACCTTATCAATTAGATTTGTAATTAGATTTTTGTTCAGTTTTTCTGTTTTTATGCCATTATCTCGAACACATTTTTTCGATTTTTGTGTAAAAAATTATATTAACTGCTATATATTCTATATATTTTTCAAGTGATGGTAAAAATACAATTAAATAACGAACTGTAATATATTTGATGCTATCAGGCACTTTTCTTTTTTCGTAGAATTATCGAGAATTCCATTGTTAGCGCTTATCTTGCTACTTGCTGAAAATATATTCTTTGTAGAAGTCTTTTCATCTAAAAGACTGATATCTAATGTACTAATTATACTAAAACCGTTAAAACTCATTGTTCAATACCACGGGATCATGGGATGTTTTGAAATATTTTTTTTTATGTGCTGATTGAAAGCTGATTTATTTCATATGATTTAATATCGAATATAAAAATTTCAGATGAGAGATGATTTTTTAACTAAATCTTTAATTTGGATTTGTATTACAGAGGTTGTATTATCTTTTGAACTTAATTTCATTCTAAATTATTTAGATTCTTAAACATTTTTAAATAATTCACTCGCTGCTATTAATTGATTATCATTATCTAATTTTTGAACCTAACACAGAGGACTTAGAGAAGTTTATTTTTTATGAGACTTCAGTAGTGAAGTCTTCGAATTTCTCGAATATGGTTTTTAGTGTTCTGGTGTTTTTGGTAGCTATCTGTGCATCATTATTGAAATACATTTATAAGGATTAATAATTAATAAATTAATAATTTGTGCAGCATAAATTTGAAAATCAGGAAGAGTAGGATATCACCTTTTCAGAGATGTTGTGGATATTAATATTTGATAACAACGGTGTTATTTTGATTGAACTGGTATTGTGAGCTTCTCTATTTCTCTGACTAATTAAATTAAGACAATAATTAAATTTAAAATTTTGATATAACAATAAAGTTAAACTTTAAAAGCAAACTAACATCATTTCTAAAAACTAATTACAAGTAGTAAAAATGATATTTTTATGTTAAACTTTAATATAGTCACATTTATTACTTTTAATGGTTCATTAACCAACCTATGAAATTATAACAACAGATTTTACATTAAAAGATCCATTTATCTATACTTTTATGAATAACTTTAACAAGATCGAATATTTAGGTATTGTAATTACCAATCTATACTGATTCTTATTATTTCTTACTCAGATTTTTATCAAGTAACATGTGGTTTTTATTGTTGGTGTGAATGTATGTGTTTCATATAATATTTATATTTGTGAGGTAGTGACCAGCAACCTGTCATGACAGACAGATATATAAACTCCACTAAATAGGTGAGTTATTTTGACACACATCAGCAAAATTGATAACCAAATTGTAGAGTCACAAGTCCAGGGAATTTTTTAATTAATAATAATATATATGTATCCATTTGTTATATTTATTTTCTGTATAAATTTCGTGTGTTAGATATAAAAAAATATTATTAAGAGTAAAAATTTAATAATAAAGCCGTTCTCAATTTAGGTCGTGTGCGAGTTAGGCTAAGTTGATGCTAAACCAAATGGGAGATTTTTTGGGATGTTTTGCACTGCACACATTTAGCCATTTATCAACACGTATCGACACATCACTACATTATCGGCACAACTTAGAATTTCCCTCATTTAGAACGCAACTTAGCCTAACTCGCACACGTCTTTATAATTTTGGAGACATTTTTGCAATCAATATTAATTTTTAATGCAATTCTCATTTTGGATTTTTAAATTTCGAGCGAAATGTTTAAAACTCTAAATTAATTTATTACACACCAAGACATATTGCCAGAATAGTAATATTACCCTGAAATTAACAGCTGTTTTATATGACTTGACAGATGTTTTGCATTTGAGTAGACCACATACACACATCCATACACAAAATTTGATATATTAAGAGTAAATCTAGAGTTTGTCCAGATTAATTAATCTAAAACGCCAGAAAAATACTATTAGAACCAGAACTATTTATTTATCAATTGTTTATATCATAACTGTCCAGACCAGACGTCATCGGGGGCCAATACAAATCACTGTACAGATTGAAGGGCCGCAGTAACAAATGCGTTGACATTCATAGATCGACAAAAATAAAAATGCGGTTATATTGTTAAATTTAGTTTTATTAATTTAAATCCATTTATTTGACATATCACATGTCGCGGACCGCATAAACATTAGCCGCGAGCCGCATGTGGCAAAAATTGAATATACTAGTTGGCATTAGATGGCGAGTATAATTGCTTGTATGTGGAATCAATATAATCTCGTTGTCAATTGGATTTACACAGGAGATCAGAATCTTATCTACAATTTATTTAGTAATTATAATTTCTGTTCCACGAGCTACGAGTTTTAATACAAAACTCAAGTAAAACAGAAGTAAAATTTACACTAATCATTAATTAATTTTATTAAAAAGCAAATGTTAAACAAAAATCGTTTTTAGTTTTTTCGCTTAATTCACTCTTTTTTAAATGAGTAAGTTATTAATGTAAACACTTAAAGCAGTGTTGGGTAAAAAATCATGTCTCAAAGCGGAGACAAATCATTTTCAATTTAAAATGATTTGCGTAAACACTATGATTGACATTCGTTTGAATTTCTTTGGAAAGGATTAATTACAAACATGTAATGAAAGAAATGATTATTAAATTTTTAAATATTCTTAACATAATATTATGAGTACTTAATATTATATAAACGATTTATTTTTGAGTTAAAATTACATATAAATGAGCTCATTATAAATAAATCAAGTCTTTTAAGACGAAAAATGTCGAATGCAATTCTTAAAAATAAATTTCCCATAAGGGAAATTATTAAAATTTCAAATATTTGGCACATGTTTTATATGAAAAATGCAAGCAAACAAAAATTGAGCTATAAGCAAACGTGCTGAGGAAGTATTTAATAGAATTTTGGTTTTTGTTAATTAAATTTGTAATATGCTTTATATAATTAATTTATTATATCAATTATGTATTTTATTTATTGTACGTACTAGTATTAAAAAATTTTTTGTTTTCATAAATTAAATATGCAATAAATATTTAAAAAATTTATTTGTGGTTTAATTTATACTTTCTCAAACACACCTTAATTTCGCAAAATTATTAATATCGTCTTCATTTTATGGAAAGGAATTATTTTTTCCATACAAAGCCTAAAAAACCTTAACCAAACAACCTTAAAATTGAATTAAAGTTAGAACGAAATTAAAGTAAATGGCCCTAATTTCATTGAAACAAGGACTAAAATTAAGGGATATTTTAAATGCAACTATGCGAAAGATAAATTTCAAGCAAAAATTAAGTGAAGATAACGAAAAAGTGACATTTATTTTTAAAAAAATGTCAGTAATAGTTGATTTTAATAAAACTGGGAAACTACTTTGAAAGTATTGCAAGTTTTTAGATTTGAATATAGAGAAAAAAACTTTATATGTCTACTAAAGCTAATCCACTAAAGCTAATAAAACTGCTGAATGCCATCCTTTATATATATAATAATTAACTTTTAAAATTTCACAGTTACAAGTAGTGTTTTGGATATACAATTTTTCGATTTGCAAATTATAAACATATAATTTCTCTAATTTGGGGCAGTATGTGCACTTTTCAAATTAACTTGATTTGATTTTAATGAAATTAAGAAAACTTGGCTATATTTTTAAATTAATAACAGTTACAGTTCTTTCTCTATATTCAAATTTCAAAATTTACACTACTTTCATAATTTTTCCCAGTGTTATTAAAGTCAACTGTCACTGACATATATTTAAAAAAAATGTCACTTTTTCGTTATCTCAACTTTATTTTTTGCTTAAAATTTATCTTATGCATAATTGCATTTGAAATGTCCCTCAATTTCAGCTTCGTTTTAAGGATATTAAGGCCATTTTTCTTAATTTCGTTCTGACCTCAAAACTGAATTTTGTATAGAAAAAATAACTTAATTTCGCTGAAACGAAGATGAAATTAAGATATTTGCAAAATTAAGGTGTGTCTCAACATAATATAAAACGACTTTTTAAATTTGTGTAAAAGAGGTAATTATTGCGCAGTCATACAGTTTTTCAAGAAAATATATTTGAATTTATTATATACAATGTTTATATGATAAATAGTAAATGTAGTTAATATTTACAATTCTGCTAATTTATTTATATAAGGTATATAAATAAATTTAATAATATCATGTCAGTAATTGAATCGAATATTGTAATAATCATAGGTAAATTTAAAGATATTGACATTTCTCAACACTAAACTCATAACTAATTTACTTTTGCAGCACTGATTACTTGCAAGCAGAACAACCGCCATTAATTTTTTGAAAACAGTTGTGGGTAACAGACGTTGAAAGACGCTGATTGTAATAAAAGAAAAAGGTTCAATTGTTGCTATTAGAATTTTATGAAAGAAAATGGGTACTCTATTTTCTAAGATTGATAACAGCCATCCGCATGAAGTAATAGATTTCAATCATCGTGGAGATCGAAATTTTAATGAACAAAGTGGAGGCGCAGGTGGAACCAATACTGCTAATATTTGTGTTTCTGTTCAATTGGATCCGCGTTCGCCTGCTGGCAACCGTACGCCACTCAATGTGAGTTCAACTATTTTTAAATTGTTTGTTATAAATTAAAAGTGAATTAAATTTTTTTGTTTTTACTCTGAAATGAGACATTGTGGCAGCTGCCGTAATTGTATTTTACGGCTTGATAAGTTAAATGTAGAAAAAAATTTTTATATTAATAAAACAATTTGTGTTTTCAGTTGTCACGTGCGGATTTCGAAATAAATACTTCCAGTGAAGAAAGCACCCAGTTAACTAATCCATTAAATGCATGGCGTAAGCGTTTATTAAAAAGTTTTGGCATTAACTTAAATGATCCGCGTTCTCCATCAGCTTTAATAAACCGCACGCCACTGATTGTTAATGATCCAAATGATAAAGTTTTTAATATGGATGACACTTTTGCTGATCTTTTTGTTGAGTCACGCCGTCCAAAACTAGAAAATCATGCAAAAGTGGCAAAAGTGGGTAGTTTAAATATGGACATGCAGGATGAAGAAAAAATAACTACAGAAAATTTTAGTTATGAGCAGGTAATTGATATAGAGTATCAAGAAGAGCCTTTAGAACCAACTGGTGCACCATTGGACATAAAAGTTGATAATTGTTTGGATGAAAAGTTGGCAAAAGGTAGGCATAAACGTGTGCATATGGATCCGCGTTCACCATCACTTAATGTTGATCGTACACCAATTATATTTAGCGATGATGATGACTCTTCCGAAGATGCTATGTTAGAAAACATACTTGCTGCTTTGTCACATGACTTAAGTTGCAGTGATAGTTTAGTTTCTACTACCAGTACACCAAACAGTAAATCCACAAATAGCGGTGGGGAATATTTTGCCGACAAGGCAGCGAAACGTCCAACAGATAAGCGTTTGGAGCGTGTACGTTATGGCAAAAAGAAGAGCAATCAATCCAAATCTAAACGTAGCCAAAACCAAAATATATTTGAAGATACTGAAAATAATCTCAATTTGTCACCCAGCAAAAATAAACTATCAACTACGCCATACGGACGCTCACCGCTCAGTTGTGTAGGTAATCGCACACAAACAATTCCAGATAAAAAATCAATAAAACCTCGCCTAATAAATTCTGATGCTGTTTACAAGGACCCAAAAGTGCAAACCATACAAAATTCTGATGACGTGGAGTTTGCAAGTTACTAAACAAATACTAAACAAATTAAAATTTATATTTTAGTTAGAATTAAACTCTGTTAAATATTTAACTCTGAAAAGTTCAAATTTATTATTATTATTATTTTTTATAAATATTTTTTATATTTGCGATTCACTAATTTTTATTACAAATATTGTAGTTGGTTAATTTTATACATACTTTGAGTAGTTATATATTTTTATATTAAAAAAAAAAAACAAAAGGATAAAACGTTAGTGGTACTTTATTGAGACATAGTTTATTAAAAACTTATTGAACTCTCTATTCATATACACTAAACAACCGCCTAATGTTAAAAAAAAAGTAATTTATATTCAAATATCAAAGACTACATACTCAAATAAATATATTAAAAAGTAATGAATAAAAAAAAAATAATTTATATATATTCGTTTAAATACCATCGAGTTAAGTGTAGAGGCACTAATCTCCTCAGAGGATAAGTGGGCATGCACTTTTCAATTATAAAATTGCCAAGTAAAAAATTTATTTATATGCCAAAAACCACTTACTCGAGTGATATTAGGATTACAGTATTTAAAAAATGGATGTGTTAGGTTAAGTTAGCTTATATGGCGATTTCTAGGAATCCATGTGTTCCTAACGTAAACGTAATTAGCGCGATAAACCTGAAGAAGTATACGACATTTTACATGCAGAATACAAAAATGTACGAATGCAGTTCGCAAATTGCAGTGATGCAGTTCGCAAATTGCAGTGATGCAGTTCTGTAGGATAGCCATAGCATGGTTTCCATTTAAGGATAACACATTGTTCATACAGTTACATTGAGCTATTAAATATTTTGTTTTTCTGGAAGCTTCTGGAAACTATTTGCCATCAGGAAGTTGTCATTAATATATATGCTTTGTTTATATATTATATTATTTATATCATAAATAAATCTATAATAGATGTGCATATATATCTAATTTCATATAAAATTAAACAAAATTTTAACAAAAATCACACTTCATAAACCCTCTCTACGCCTTGACTGTATTATTGTTTATCACTTCATCAGACTAATCAGACAAAGATGTTTGTTAGAGAAAACGTTATGAATTTTGTTTTCTCTAACATTTAATCTCATTTAATACCCACTTAAACTTGAAGATACTGCGTGTCTTCAACTTTATTGTTTTGTTGTAATACATACATATATATGGGGGCCCTTCTTGTTGAGTTGTAAGGGATGGTTCCGAGATGTAAACCTAATGGATTTGGGACCTTCAAATCATTTTGGATACATGGAATAATCAACACAATGGGTTTCTCGAATCTTAACTGAAGCTCGAAAAGAAGGAAAAAATTAAGTTCAAAAAATTATATATAACAAAAATTTAAGCTATAAAAATTATTTCTGTTGATTTTTTTTATAGCCAATTACCCGAGCTATTGTTAGTCCCTACGTATATGCCTATATTTTAGATAAAAAATTGTTCTTTAATTATTATAAAATTAAATTAGTTAATTTTTTAAAAAATTAAATATAGAAAAAATTAAGTTATGAAATTAAAATTATTACTAAAAATTTTTTTATAGCCAACTAACCGAGCTATTTATTGTTAGTCCTCACGTATATGCCCATATTTTAGATGTTAAAATTGTGTTTTAGTTATTATAAAATTAAATTAAAGTTACATACACATATTGTACTTCCATACATTTTGTATTAATATTGTAACGTGAATACAAGTACATGGTTTCAAGTACACGATTTCCATCAAAGACCAAAAAGTACCCAACAATTTGTAGAGGATTAAAGCTTTTGTGAAGTGATTTAAGAAAGTTTTAATACAATTCCGTATCTTCAGCACTAATAATGTTAGAGATTAATGGTCATGTCGTGCTAACAGAAGTAAGTGCTCTGCCTATATCCGCATCGACGGTTGACGAACCAGGTGACTAACGATTTGGGGACGCCAGGTACTACCGACTAGCGACAGCAAGCCACTGATCGGAATGGCGGGCGGAAGTACTGGACGCGGCCAATGACAACTCACATCTATAATGGTCAACTAAGTAAGTAAGTGTACTGGAAATCAATTCTAAACAATTTCTCTAACAAATTTTTATTTTATTTTAAACAGATAGATATTTAAATGATGCTACAGTCATCATCATAGAATCTTCATTCCAGGCTCTATCTATTGATCATTTTACTGTGTTTTTGTCTTTCATCAGTATATTCGCAGTTGCACTGTAAGAATGTTTCCAATAGGCCTGAGAGTTATTGAAATGTTCATATGTTTATAAAAACATGAAAATAGTACAAAAAACATTATCTAGTTATAAACAAAAATTACTTGGAATTCATAAGAATTGATATTTATACTCTCAAACAGTGATTGAGCCAAAAAAGATTTTTGAATTGAGCCTTTACATAAGGCCTAAACTGCTGAGAGATGAAAAACGTGGCCTTCGTTTAACAGAAACCTATGGTTTTACCAAGTTTTCATCATTTGAAACTCCATCATTTGGTGGTTGTTGGGTTAAACAACAAACACCCACTCCTTCTTCTCTTTTATTAAATACCTAATTCTTCCTTTATTTACTCCATTGTATAGACTTGTGATTCCGTTATGCATTTGTTTTGCAGCTTACCTTGGGATAGTACACCATCAAATTCAACCCGTTAATTTTTGGTTCACTGCGATGATACGCGACACCCATTTTAAGCACATCTTTTGTATCAACAAAGGCTCAATCGAATTATAGTTTTCATATAAAAGTTCTATAGCATCCGAAAAACAATCTCGGATGGGTTGTTGTAATTGAAAAAATGGTTCGATACCTCCAGCGCAAAAAGTACCCGGATTTTGTAAATAAAACACACAAATTTAAATTTTATTTCAAATTTATTTTATCTCCTTCAAAATATGCTCCTTCTGAAGCGATACACATATGCCAACGCTCAACCCAATCTTCCATACATTTTTCGAAGGCCCGTGAAGATATGGCTTTTAGTTCTTTCAGCATATTCTCTTTTACCGATTCAATTGACTCAAAACACTTACCACGAAGGGGCAATTTGAGTTTTGGGAACAGGAAAAAGTCTCACGGATCCAGATCTGATGAATATGGTGCCTGAGCGATACAGTGGTGTCGTGTTTGGTCAAAAAATCGCATACAACAAGAATTTTCCATAGTAAAAATCGCTAAATGCACTTGAGTTAGTCTCACATTAACAGCTACTCTAAACAAACTAATTGACAGATGTCGCTGTAACTTGAACCATATGTCAAGAAAGGGTGTACCAACATAACAAAAAAAATTTTTTCAAAAAAGTCTATTACGTAAGGAGTAGTTAACAAACAACAAAATCCGGATATTGTTAAGAGATAAACCATCTGAACAATAGAATTACAAAACTATTTATCATAAGATTAGTTTTATAGATAGAAAAATTTCTAATAATTATAGAAAATGTGTATAAAACATATAAGGTGGAATCTGTCTGTCTGCAGTTTCTCCTAGTACTTTTATTATAACCAATAAAAACCAAATGATTGCATATCATATATATATTCAAAATCATGTTCAATTATGTTTCAATCCACTTATATACAATTCAATATAATATATTAAAATATTACGAACTAACAATATATTAAATAAATGTTGCTTACAAGCCTTACAAAAGTGCGTATACATATTTCTAATCTAAGTGCAATAGATGTATATTAAATATATGAAGGAATCCAGAAAATATGGAGCATTTCGAGATGCAGAAGGATATTAGTTAGTTAAGCTTCAATCAAAATCAAATTTTGTCATTATTAGATCGATTATCTGTTCTCCATTGAGTTCATTATTATTTTCTATAATTAAGTCCCATTGATCGTATTCATCTAAGTCGCATTCAGATGCTACATCATCGATGCCTGAAGTAAAGCTCCAGCCACGTTCAAAACGTATTGCTTCTGGACACGTAAGTCGTATGGTTTGCACACATGCTCCATATGTTTCACGAAAATACTTGATGTCGTTTTTACGCCTTATGTCACTAACAATGACTACATCGTGATTAGCTGGAATGAAAAAAAAGGTTAAAAATATTATGAAATTATACATATATATATTCATATATACAAGATGATGGTATATAGTTTTTCATTTAAAATTTTAATTTAATAAATATTAAGAGTCTTGAGGATGTTTTTTGTTTTGTATTTTCTTGCAGATTTACTATTAGAAGCTCTGTTATTGTATGGTATTCATGTGTAGTTTAGTGACATTTAGAGAGATTTAGAACCATTCATACATAAGGGCCTTAGCACTTGAACTTACGAGATTTTGGATTACTCCATAATATTCTACGCTAATGAGTAAAAAGCTATAAACGTTAGCTTTTGGTAATTTGTTCCGAAAATATAAATGATATATTGAATGTTAACAATGAAAAAGGGTAATTTGTTTTTATATAGCCAGGCAGAAGTAATGATTAGAGCACTGTACTTTAATAAATTGTCACAACCAAGATCGCTATTGGTGACAACTAAGATATGAAAATACATAAAAATAGTTTGAGAATCATGGCAAGAATTCTGACAGTGTACCGAATATTTATTTACTAATAATTATTCATAATAAGACGAACAAATAATGAAATTGAAGAACTGCTCAGAAACGAAAATATAGCAAGATACATTAAGTCGCAAAAGTTACAATGGGGTGCTCATTTAATAAGAATGGGGTCGGGGAGAAAACCGAACAGCATATTCCACGCAAAGCCGATCACAAGCAGGCACAGAGGTAGGCCAAGAACAAGATGGGATGAGAACGTGTGTGGTGATGCAAGAACTTTTGGAGTACTGAACTGGAAGAGAGTAGCAGAAGATAGGGACAGATGGAAGCAGACCGTGAGAGAGGCCAAGGTTCATACTGGACTGTTGTGCCAAATAAGAAGAAGAATTATTCATAATAAATAATTTTAGAATAACTCATGATAAGTGTTTGGCAATACTCGAAACCAAAAATTCAATTAAATAAAAATAAGTAAAAAATTTTTGTTGTTGCAATTCAGTACTATTCGAAACCTCTCTATTAAATGCAATAGTTTTTATTACGTAGAATAGTCACTACTGTCGTAACTGCCGTTAAAATCAAACTTAATATTAATAGATCATACAATTTGAAAATGTTATAATTTCAAATTTTTTAATAAATAAAAAAAGGCATCTTGTTGGTTGGAAGAGGCATCTTCTTCTTCATTAGGAAGAATATTAGTTAGAGAAGCTAATCTTCTAAAACCTTTTAATAAATTATTGGCATATAAAATAACTTTTATAAAATACAACAGCACAACCAGCCTAAGGTAGGGAGAGACGGTCTCTTCTGTTCACTGCGGCAAGTGCTGTTCAAAACGTATTTAGATGAAACTACTTACGTACGTTTCTGGGCGGTACTTCCAATTGGTTTAAAAATATATTTATTATGGAGCATTTGGTATTGAGAAATGAACTAAAATACTATTGCGATATTTTATACAATTGTCAGCGGATTTACTAATTGACAACTGAAAGCATATTTTAAAGTAATATTGTGTTGCCTACAATACACAATAAGTAAATCACAGATATTAATTTAATAAATTGTCGAGTTTTCGTAATAACATCGTCGAAAAAAAATAAAAAAATCATTAATAAAATAAATAATACATTACACAACTTGAAAAGAAGGTGCTACAGTTTTTATCCAATAATTTAATTAATATTTTGAATATATAATAAAATGGAACTAATTACAAGTTGTTTAAAATGAACAAAAAATATATGAAAAACAAAAAAAGTAAACTTAAGCGTTGTCGAAGAATACCCTGAACACAGACAGTCATATTACATATTAAGTCATATTATTTACTATATGAAATCGGAATATGCATAGTCTCTAAAACGAGGTCGTGTCTATACTTCCTCAATTCTTTCATCAACATATTTGCAACATGTGATGCTGCACATATTTCCTGCCATGAACCTAATAAACAGGTAATTGGTGATGATATACAATATTATCCAAAAAATATATGGAAAAGTGTCTAACGCTAAGAATCGCTTCGAGAGATCAATAGATTGAAGGTGAAATAAATGTACCTATAACACAGCTACTTTTCTATCCACATCCATTCTATACCCATGCACTCGTCATTGTGATTCGTTTCATGTTATTTGCTTTATAGGTTTTTATGGACTACAACACGTTCAACATGCAGTCACTATCGCTTATATGATATATGCGATTATAATATGGAAAATTAGGTCATTCTTTAGTCATTATTTTTATCTTTGTAGTCTATGTAAATGAACAGCTTAATTGATCCCAGTTCGAAGAGATAAACGACAATTGGTTGTCTATATGACCGAGTGGTGCTATTGTTTAGTTTTGATTGCTTTTGCAATTGGAACGGAGTGACATATAAACCTCATTCAAACAAACAAATATATGATTAATAATTGTGGTTACCATAATATGGTTGCTATATTTTCTGTAAATTTTATTTATGTAAAAGCAAAAAGGAAAACTAAATAACTACACTGGTTCCAAGAACGTTCAGGTCTACGTCTCGGAGGCACTCGTTGCCAGCGATTTCCAAGTGCAATCCTCTCAAAAGGACCTCATGAAAAGTGAAATCATTTAGATGAGTTCATTTGTGACATTAACAGACTAGGAAAAGTTTTGTGAGGAAGTGGTAGAAGACGGTTTTTAAATAAAAAATCCCAAGCATTAAATATTATTTGCCTTGTTAGGTAAACTCCTTCACTGCATGCATGCAAGCAGTCATTAACCTAACTTGAGAGTCATATATGAACGCTGTCAATTTGGAATTTAAATATAAGTAAAAGTGACAAACACTTAAGGATACAAACGCAACGGCAATCTTTTATAGAAAAATGGTATTAAGATTTCTCTTATAAGTCAAACATAACAAAAGTGAACAAAATCGGAATGTATGCAATTAATGCATGAAAGCATTTATATTTAATGGGTTATTTAGTATAGTGCACTGCGACCAAAAAGATCTATTGTGCCCCTTAGTCGGGTTAGAGTGTTTCTCCAAGTCCGATTTCTTTAATAAAAGACAATATAGAGCCTATCTTGAATCCGTATGATCCATGAAATACCCTCCGAGGTGTTCTTTCGCTTGTGCATCAGTGCCGGGCACTCCCCAAACACATGGTATGCATTTTTTTTTTCTCCACAGGATCTGCCGTCTGAGTTGGATAGTTACCATAAGAAGTATTCAATGAACTGCTAGTAAAGTATTGAGAATATAAATAAGAGACAAGTAAGCTTTGTCTTAATGAGGAACTCAATTAGAAATAGTGGAGAAACTCAAGTGCTGGTAGTGGAGAAGCTCAAATTTAAAAACTGCTAAGTAAATTAAAAAGACAGGCAGGCAAGCCTAAAGATTCAATAACTCACTCCAGACAAATGAAAACTGAGATATTGCAAAAAAATATTATTTAAAAATTGCTAGATGAACTGTAAACATTAAAAGCAAGCTTAAAAATTCGTTTACTTATCCAACACAGACTCAAACAGATTACTCCGACTAAACAGAGAGAAATTTAAAATTTTCTAAACAGAAAGAAAATTGAAATATTCATTTAATTATGAACATGGCACAATCGCAAAAATTCCTTCACTCATCCAGACTTGATTTGATTCCTCGCACTAAACAAAGGGAAAGTTGAAATGTACACCAGTTTATGGACAAGGTACTGCAGGTTCAAGTACTAGTTTAGAAATCAATACTATGAAAAGGCGTTTATTGCTGCACGTTTGTGGAATCAAATACGAAAATGTGAACGTAATGTAAGTTCTTCAATGTATGCACAGCAATCGAAAATGTTCGTGAAGGATATGTAATTGAATTATTATCTTTTAACAATTTATAAAATAATCATGTTAAAGTATTTCACTAAAAAGTGTACATAGTGTTTTCATATATAATTCTGTTTTTTAATTAAATAAAAGCTGGCTTGAATGTGTTGACTGTGTAATTGAGAAAACGTAATTGCAAACCTTAATTGATTGTTCTGAGTTCAGTTTGTTAATAACGTGACTTTATATAAACGAACACTTGAATGCAATGCAATAAATAAGAAGTAAGAAAATATTTTCATACAAATCTCACATGCCCAAAGCCAACAAAACAAAAAGATTTCAAAAAAAAAAGCCTAAGAAAAATATAGAAAATTAGCAAGTAAACTCTTTCATATTAAGTCTAGTAGATAATCACCTTTAGACATAGCTGCTCGGCAGAAGTATCCGTAATCCTTTTCGCGCATTTCATCACTCCATACAATCATTTCTTTTCGATACTGTTCTTTGTAGGGCCCATCGCTAAGCAGTTCTTCCAAATTGAGATTCCGCTTCTTGGCCCACTCAGATTTGATAGGTTCTGAGATGCGAATTATTTGGCTACGTTCACCAAGTCTATCAGAGAATGTGTTAATATATATTAATGTATTTTATTAGTTATTTTTTATTATTTTTACCGTTTCTGCAATTTTTCTGACAGAAAATCTTTGCCACATTTCCTCTTACCGCTGATAAGTATTATATGATTGATTGGGCTCATAGCAATTTCATCAATAAGTCAAGCATACATACAAAAGTAAAATGAGCCTTTTTGTTGCAAATATTTCTATTGAAACGTGAAACAATACAGTTTTTAACCTCCGCCGCTTCACCTTGCCCCGTTTATTTATTTTTTGTTATTATCAATTCCCGCACAGTTTCATGCAAATGTTCACTATTTTTGTTAGCTTGTGAAGATAATTAAGTGCTGAATTTCCATATTATCTAGCACATATCATATACATATGTATATATTTAATTAACAATGAACAATTTTAACCAGAATGTTGATTCTATTTGCAATGAAAGTAATTGCCTCACAAATTTACTTAAAATTGTTTACCCGCGTCTTAGTTGACGTAATTTCGTTCAGTTTTCGCCAAGCAACAGCGAAATGTCAGCTGATAGGCTGTCGTTCTTGCACGAATTTGGTTTGTGCCTATACTAAAAATCACATATTCGTAACACAATTTTATATACAATTATTATTATTATTTATTAATATTATTATATTCATTTTACACTTAAAAGTTTTACGCATATTGTTATATATATTCGAATAAATGTTGGCATTATATTCCAATACAGGGTTGTCCAAAGTACGGCCCGCAAGAGGTTTTTAAGCTACTAGACCCAGCGGGAATGGTTCCCTCAGCGCTGAATGGTAATGCCTAGCGCTGATTATTCAAAGGAAACTCCTAATTACTTTAACACGTGCATGTCATTGCGGGCAAGCGCTGAATCGTTCGATTACCTTTTCGTATTTGTAATGCAACATATCAGCGCTGACATGTTCGCTTACTTTTTCGAATTTGTAATGCAACATATCAGCGCTGACATGTTAGCTTACCTTTTCGAATTTGTAATGCAACATATCAGCGCTGATATGTTCGCTTAAATTTTCAATTTTACCTATGCTATTGATTTTTAAATAAAATACTAACAATTTTTTTAGATGAATTATATTTTATATTTATGTTTTATAAAATCAAAATATTAATATTTACATAAAAATATATAATATATTTATATATCATATTAACTTATTTACATTTTAAATTATTTATATATAATTATTTACATGTTAATTTATTTAAATATTATCTCATTTACATATTAAATTGTTAACATATTTTCATATTAATTTATTTAAATATTAACTTATTAATATCACCATTAATATGTTCAGCTGTACTGCAGGAAGGTGTTGTTTTCGTACCAAAAGTTTGAAAATCATTTTCTATAAAAGAATAAAATATTTTAATAAATGCACGATTAAAATTCCCTGTTTCATTTATACCTTCTTTTTTAAACGATAAAAATTCCTCCTTTTTCTTTTTCACCAAACATTTATAATGTCTTACAGTATGCATCTATATAATACAAAACAAAAATTATAATTATCATTTTAAATATATTTACTTAATTTTGCATATACTTACAGTGAGTTTATGTTAAATTACAAATTATATTTTATTTATATTTTTGATTTTATTTTGATTTTAAAAATTATAAATTGTTCACTGCACGCACTTCACTAAAATCAAAAGCAGACTAAATGTATACAATCTAGGCAAAACAAGAAATTCTTAATACTCTCATATGCTTTTCTTCTTCATTCTTTTATAATTTCAACCCCGAAATTGCCTATGTCGAACACAAATGTCGAAAACAAAGAAAAATAAAAACGAAGAGCTATTACCTCCTCGCTTACTTTTTCAGCGCTGGCATAATGGTGCCGCTGGGGAATTACACAAATTTCCTTTTGGTGTAGTGGTAAAACTGCATTGTTTTATTTTTATGATATACCAAATAAGTGAATTTACATTGATAAATTAATAAAACTAAATTTAAGATTAAAACCGTATTTTTATGTTTCTTGAATATAATTATGAACGTATGTATTTATTTGTGCGGCCCTCCAATCAGTACAGTGATTTGTATTGGCTCGCGATCGCATCTGGTCTGGACAGCCCTGTTCTAATATATAGAATAATTTTCTTATATTGTCATTATGTGTAGTAGTATGGACGTTAATTTTAATTTATTATAACTACAACAATAATAAAATGAAAAGCAGAAACAAAACTATCTGACAATATTAAAATTTATATGGAAAATATTTTAGTCTTTGCTATATGTGAACAGCACACCACTATTTTTTATACCTTATACAAAAACCATATTATAACACTGTTTATGATAAGAATAAATTTTGGCGTTAAATTCTAATATATAGAATAATGGTATGGATGTTAATTTTAATTTATTATAATTATAATAATAATAAAATCAAAAGCAGATATAAAACCGTATGATAATATTAAAATGTAAATGGAAAATATTTTAGTTTTTGCTATATGAATAACTTACCAAAAACCTTATACAAAAACCGTATTGTAACACTGTTTTTAACTACAATCAACAAAGACCGTACGATCTTGGCATATGTCGTTAGAATCTAGAAATAGAACCTTAATATTAATTTTGAAAATTCTTAGCTAATACACAAACCTAAAAGAATAGTTTTTTCGGTATTTAAGACCGAAATATTACGGCTTTACTAAAATTTTAATATAAGTAAGAAAACAGATCCAATATTTTATCAGATATATTTTTGTATAAGTTTATTCCGTCTTAAAAGAGTTGTATAAATGAAAAATGTACTTATATTTGAAGCCTTATAATGAAAAAATAATAACTTATTTAATGCAATTTATTCTTGTCTTTCGGGAACAAAAATAAATCATTGGGTGTCAAATCAGGACTATATGTTAATCAAGTGAATGACCCATCAATTCGATTTTTAAATGTTTAAATAGTCGGTTATTAGTCGAGATGTGTGAGCACTCGCATTCAGGTAAACAAATGTTTGTATTCCATTCGGAATTGACCGTTTCACGTTCCTCTAATAGTATCCGTATAGTTGCCACATGACTAGTTTTCCCGAAAAAACAAGAGACCATTTGTTTCGAAGAGCTTTGAACGCGAAAAACTTTTATTGGATTTGATTCATCTTGAAACACCCGTACAGTCATACAGTCGACTGTTGTTTACGTTCCAGCTTATACGCATATATCCATGATTCGTCACCTGTTACAATCTTATATATTCGTACGTTTTCAAGCACCGCTATTGTACTTCTTGAGCACTTGTGTGCACGGTGCATCAATCGATACAAACATTTTCTTGAGATTTTGTCAAATAATGGGGGATGGGATCCAACGAGAACTAACCTTTCTCACGGCTAAATTATCGTGCAATATTTTATATATGCTGCTGGAACTAATGCCTAGAATTCAACTAGCCTCAATCTCATAATATTTCGCATGAAAATCTTGCAGTACTCGTATCGGTTTTTGCTCAGCATCAATGTTTTCTGGCACAACAACTGAACAATTGATCTCACGTCTGTCAGTGAACTGCGGCCATGATTAAAATTATTGTATTAGTATTTCACAGTGGTTTTATCACAGGATGGAGTTTCATCCATCATCAGCCAAATATGGACGTAAGTTGATTGACGCAATCTTATATATAATCTTATAAATCATAGCCCGAAATTTTTCTCGCGTTAGTTTCTTTTTTTCACAAACACTTCATTTGCAAATCACTGTTAATAACACAAACTTAAGTATGGAAACGTCAGATAACACCTGACAACAATCAGTGTTACTAAGGCTCGAAATATAAATAGTGACCCTCGATATGCTAAACATTTATGAATAATCTTTATAGACCAATTGGGATACTGCCAAGTGGAAACCACTCTAAATCCATGCTCTCAAAATAGATCTGTTATATATATATATATATACTGTAGAAACTATTCAAACAAACAGTCCTGTTGCACGAACACCTGTCTTGAAAGGAAGATTCTTCCGCATAAAAGTACTTATTCTTTATCCCAAAAACTTGAATTTGTTGGAATGTACATTAAGACCGAAAAGTTTTCGGAAATTCTCATTTAAAATTCGCGCGCTGTATATTTTTCGATATTTTAAGTTTATGTAGTTTGGCAGCAATTAAGGACAATTACTATGCCAAAAATGAGCGCGATCTGTCAGACAGTTCGTTTACGGCAGCTGTTGAAACCAGTTCACCTCAGTAGTGCGTTGCGAAAAAAACAAAAAAAAAAAATATTGAACAAAGAGTTTGCATCAAATTTTGTGTTTCGAACGAAATTTCGTGTGCAGAATCGTTGCGAATGCTACAAAAGGCTTATGGGGAATCAGTTTTATCGAAAACTCAAGTTTATGAGTGGTACAAAGCCTTTCAGGACGGCCGTACGACCGTCGAAGACATTTCGCAACGCACTACTGAGGTGAACTGGTTTCAACAGCTGCCGTAAACGAACTGTCTGACAGATCGCGCTCATTTTTGGCATAGAAATTAAGGACAGTGCTGCCAAACTACATAAACTTAAAATATCGAAAAATATACAGCGCGCGAATTTTAAATGAGAATTTCCGAAAACTTTTCAGTCTTAATGTAAAAATCTCCGCGTGAAAATTTGATTTCTATTTAAATCATTTCTTTTATAATTAAAATTTTGTGTGGTACATTACAAATTTCGCATTATATATAAATTCAAATTCAAATTCCTATTTCCAAATTCGTTATTTTTTAAAATTTTTAAAAAAATGTCACACACACAACGGAAATGCCAGACACTTTCCAATGAGTTTTGAAAGTACCTTAAAAGCTCATTGGGCCAGTAGCGGATTCGGAAAGACTTTATATGGTTTTATTTTAAACATTTTAAACTTTATAAACAAATATATGGAAGACGAATAGGCTATGGAATGGTCAGTGTACAATCATCGCCACTAGTCGATCAATACCAGTGGATTAAAAGCTATGCACCCACAATCATGCACTCGTCAACAATGTCAAATTTTTATCCGATTGCGTATGGGACATTTAAAGCTTTTTCATGAAGATCGACTGAGTGGCGGTCAGTCATCAAACTGTTCATTTTGTAATAGCACACCATCCATAGATCATATACTTAAT